AACTCAAAACAAGGATGCCGGAGTTTCGAAAACTAGAGTTGGTCTTGGATTTGTAGCACCAAATCCAGTTCGGATAGCTATAAAACGAGTCAATTCGAATCATGTGTCCGAAGAAGGATTTTCATCCACTGATCATTTGAAGCATGGTGGAAGAAGATCGGTATTTGAAAGGCTTGGACCCATTCAAGAGTTAAAGTCCAAAAGAACTAGTCATCAAAGACTTGGTATTCAAATGAGGGTTAGAAACGGGAACATAGGAAGAAAGTTCCCCAAGATTCGAAGCTCGATTCCGTCACGAATGAAGAGACAAACGCGAACGATCGTGCACACGAGAGTAAGAGATGAAGAAGAAAGTGCTGGAGAAAGCGTCGCCTCATCTAATCAAGTGAGTAGTCTTGTCCCAAGAGAATATCCTCGAAGTGTTGAAGGCATCTTGCATCGAAGAATCGCCGCATTGGTAAGAAAAGGGTGTATTAACGAAGACAATTTGCGTTTGGCTCGTGTCGTTAGAAGAGACGGACGAGTTAGAACATGTGTTGATTTCAAGAGTCTTGACGACCCTGCTAAAGATGTTGCATATGTAAACCATATCACCATATGTGAAGATGCCCAAGGAAATGAAGAAGACGCAGAGGATGCCCCTGCTGAGCTTGAAGAAGGAGTTAAGGCTACGGTTGATGAGTTGAAAGAGATCAACTTAGGAGACGTGGATGATTCTCGACCAACTTTTATCAGCGCACATTTGACTAGCGATGAGGAAGAGACTTATATTGAGCTGCTTCATGAATACAAATATGTCTTTGCTTGGTCATATAAGGAAATGCCTGGGTTAGATCCAAAAGTGGCGGTGCACAATTTGTCCGTGAGAAAGGGGGCACGGCCTGTTAAGCAAGCTCAACGCCGTTTTCGGCCCGACCTGGTTCCATTGATTGAAGTTGAAGTGAACAAGCTCATCGAGGTCGGGTTCATTCGAGAAGTCAAGTATCCCACATGGATTTCAAGCATCGTTCCTGTGAGAAAGAAGAATGGCCAAGTTAGAGTTTGCGTTGACTTTCAAGATCTAAATGAAGCATGCCCAAAAGACGATTTTCCATTGCCCATTACTGAACTCATGATTGATGCCACTACAGGCCACGAAGCGTTGTCTTTCATGGATGGGTCGTCTGGGTACAACCAAATACGAATGTCGCCAAGAGATGAAGAATTGACTGCATTTCGTACGCCAAAAGGGATATACTGTTACAAGGTGATGCCATTTGGTTTAAAAAACGCTGGAGCTACATACCAACGGGCTATGCAAAGAATTTTTGATGATATGCTTCACAAAAACATTGAATGTTATGTTGATGATGTGGTTGTGAAGTCAAGAAAGCGAGAAGATCACCTTGGAGATTTGAGAAGTGTTTTCGAACGGCTAAGGAGATATCAACTCAAGATGAATCCACTCAAGTGTGCGTTTGGCGTCAAGTCTGGGAAATTTCTTGGGTTCATTGTTCGTCATCGAGGGATAGAGATCGAGCAAGCGAAGATTGATGCTATATTGAGAATCCCCGAACCTCGTGATATTCATGAACTCAAAAGCTTACAAGGAAAACTGCGTATCTTCGAAGGTTCATATCGAATTTAGCCGGTCGATGCCAACCGTTCAGTCGTCTTATGAAGAAAGGTGTTCCATTTGAATGGGATAAGTCTTGCAAGAATGCTTTCGAAAGCATAAAGGCGTACTTGATGAAGCCTCCCGTGCTGGTTGCTCCTGTGCCCGGTTGTCCATTGATTCTTTATATAGCTGCTCAAGAGCGTTCCGTTGGGGCTTTACTGGCTCAAGAGAATGATAATGGAAAAGAAAGTGCTTTATACTACCTTAGTAGGATGATGACGCCAAATGAATTAAACTACTCGCCCATCGAGAAGCTATGCCTGGCGTTAATCTTTGCAATCCAAAAGTTAAAGCATTACTTTCAAGCTCATACAGTTCGTCTTGTCTCGAAAGCCAATCCACTTAAGTATGTTATGATGAGGCCCGTACTCTCTGATAGACTTGCAAGGTGGTATCTTCAACTGCAGCAATTTGAGATCATCTATGTTCCTCAAAAAGCTGTAAAAGGTCAAGTCTTGGCGGACTTCTTAGCTGGTCACCCAATCCCTGCTGAGTGGGAGTTGTCTGATGAGTTACCCGATGAAGATGTGCTGGTCATTGAGATAACTCCGCCATGGAAGATGTATTTTGATGGGGCGGCCCATCGAGAAGGGGCTGGTGCTGGGATTGTCTTTGTGACATCTAACGGAGAAGTTCTGCCTTACTCATTTACCTTGACTGAGAATTGCTCAAATAATGTTGCTGAGTATCAAGCTCTTATACTTGGATTGGAGATGGCAGTTGACATAAAGCAACTACGTTTGAATGTGTATGGAGACTCTAAACTCGTGGTTAATCAATTACTTGGAGAGTATGAGGTGAAGAAACCTGAGTTGCTTCCGTATGTGAACTATGCCAAGAGACTTATGGGATGGCTGGGTGATGTGACAATTGATCATGTGCCAAGAAAGGATAATAAGCAAGCCGACGCCCTCGCGAAACTTGCTTCGGCGCTCACCTTGCCGAAAAACAAAGCTCATATTCCCGTCTGTAGGAGTTGGGTAGTACCGCCAATATTCAATGATGAAGAAGATGATGAGAATGAGGAGAATCACGCCATTGAAGTATATGAGATTGAAAAGGAGGATTGGCGTCAACCTCTTGTTGATTATTTGAAGTACGGGAAGCTACCTGATGATCTCCGAAAAAGAGTTGATGTGCGGCGGCGTGCACCTCGCTTTATCTATTATAAGGGAACTCTATATAGGCGATCTTTTGATGGAGTCTTTTTGAGATGCTTGGGAGATGATGAAGCAATTCAAGCAATGGAGGAAGCTCATTCTGGAATTTGTGGTGCTCACCAATCAGGCCCGAAGCTACATTTTCGAATCAAGAGAATGGGGTATTATTGGCCGACGATGGTTAAAGACTGTATGGACTATGCCCAAAGATGTCAACCATGTCAATATCACGCAAACTTTATTCATCAATCACCCGAGCCGCTACATCCCACTGTTGCTTCATGGCCGTTTGATGCTTGGGGACTTGATGTGGTAGGACCTATGACAAAGTCTTCTGGTGGTCACTTATACATTTTGGCTGCAACGGATTATTTCTCTAAGTGGGCTGAAGCAGTGCCTCTCAAGGAAGTGAAGAAAGAAAATGTCGCCGACTTCATCCGCATTAATATCATCTATCGTTATGGGATCCCTCGATATATAATAACGGATAATGGAAAACCGTTTTCAAACAGTCACATTGACAAGCTTTGCGAAAAATTTGGCTTCAAGCAGCGAAAGTCTTCTATGTATAACGCTGCGGCTAATGGACTTGCTGAAGCATTCAATAAGACTTTGTGTAATTTGCTGAAGAAAGTGGTTGCAAAATCAAAACGAGATTGGCATGAGAGGATTGGAGAAGCTTTGTGGGCATACAGAACCACTTTTAGAACACCAACTCAAGCCACTCCTTATGCACTTGTCTATGGCGTGGAAGCAGTTGTTCCCCTTGAGCAGCAAATTCCATCATTGAGGATAGCATTGCAAGAAGGATTGACGGAAGAAGAAAATGCACGTCTTCGCCTTGAGGAGTTGGAGGCTCTCGATGAGAAAAGACTGGAAGCTCAGCAAAGATTGGAATGTTACCAAGCACGTCTCTCTAAGGCATTTAACAAGAAAGTTCGATCGCGCTCCTTTCAAGTTGGTGATTTAGTTCTTGCTGTGAGAAGGCCGATTGTNAAAAAAAAAAAAAAACTCCTGACCCGCATGAGTATAAACTGTGAACGGTAATCACCAAAAAGCTTTGCATGTGATTAAACTGCTAAATTCTCCACCAATGTGAATATACGTGGTTAAACTGTTAATTCTCGCACTAAGGTGTTATGTGGTTAAACTTAATACTCTACTTTGTCTAAAGTGTTTAAAGAATAGTCACTCCTGGCCCGCATGAGTATAAACTGTGCACGGCCCCCATAAACAAATTCATGTTGATGTTACTTTGAACTACGTTATGACTTGATCCTTTTAAAAGGTACGTAGGCAGCTTGGATAAATTTCTAAGTTCAGTCATGTTCTTAAAAAAAAAACTCCTTGATACGAGTATAAATTATCTGGCAAGTCAAATCAAGATCTCATTGACAAGAGAATAAAAGGTCTACATGTTAAATATGAAGGCTCCTTAACATGAGTATAATCTGTTTACATGGAAAAAAAAAAAACTCCTAAATATGAGTCTAAACCATTTTCAAAGCTCCTTGATACGAGTATAAACTATCTAAAGTCCTCAAATTAAAATTCCCCATGACGCATGAGACTAAATTGCATGTTACTCCTGGCCTGCACGAGTATAAATTATGCACGACTAAGAAAATGTTCTTTGAATCACATTATGGCTTAGAGTTGATCTCTTAAATAGCTCAATTTTTTTGGATGATTACTCCATTATGTCTCTTTAGATCTCCAGTTGGTATGGTGTAAACTCACTCTACTCCACAAGCTTGTTGATGGTAGAAAGTTCCTTTATGATCGTTGATAGATGAGCTTCATGTCTTTGAAATTCGACGAAGTGCTATGCGGTGATGACTTACTCCATTGTGAGTGTTTGCATGTTGTTGAACCAAGAATTGCTACATGGGGTTGATTTGGTTCATGGCCTTTGATGATGTGTCAAGTATGCAGTGGCAAAGTACTTCTTCTGTTGAAGGATGTACATGTCGTCTTAATTTATGTCGTCTTGATCAAATGAGTTGGTGTGGTTTCAAGTTGCTTGAAGAAGTCTTTCTGTCTTTCGGGAGAGCTTGTTGTCCACGTCATGTTGATTGATATCGTCTTTTCTCGGCAATGTATGTGATGGAAATCATGATAGTGGTGATGGCTTGTTTCTCCATGTTGTCCCTCCACTTGGTTTGATCGTCGGGAATGATTACTCGTGACTTGGACTTCAAATGCACAGTTCTGAAAGTTGCGTTGGCGTATGACAACTTGGCCGGTGAGATACGTCATCCTAAGTTGATGTTGTGCGGCAAGGTTGATGGTTCTTCTGTGCAGCTTGGACGTTGAGCAGCAAGGTTGATGTTTTTCCGTGCAGCTTGGCTTTTGACTTGACGTTGAGCAGCAAGGTTGAGATATGGTCGTCCTAAGTTGATGTTGTGTGGCAAGGTTGGTGGTTCCTCAATACAACTTGGATGTTGAGCGGCAAGGTTGATGGTTCTTCCGTTTAGCTTGGCTTTTGCGATGCGCTGTCCTGATTTGACGTTGAGCGGCAAGGTTGATGGTTCTTCCGTTTAGCTTGGCCTTTGAGATGCGTCGTCCTAAGTTGATGTTGAGCGGCAGAGTTGATGTTTCTCCCCATGCGGTTGTTTGAGCATTGTCCTTGCATTGGCTGAGAATATCTTCTTTCTATTTCGCCTTTGATGATTCGATGGCCCAAAATAGAGAATGACGTTGATGGTGATGATGAGTTGCTTGAAATGCCCATGTCTTTGTCTTCTTGTTTGTTGGATGGAACTTCTTGAGACTACTCTTTTGGCCATAGAGGTGAGAACTTGTTGATGAGGGATGGAAAGACCGCTTAAGTCGTGCCTTCATCTATAGAACGGTGCTTGTCATCAAGTATCTTCAAGTGTCGGATGCCGCAAGGGGAAGAAAGGTCCCTGAAATGCACCATGGTTGAGGGCCGGACAGGACAGCTCCCGAATTGATTTATTTCAGCCCGAACAGCTCCCGAACCAATCCATTTTAGCCTAGACAGCTCCCGACCAACTCTGTTTCATCCCGAACAGCCCTTGTGGAGTCCGGGCAGCAGCCCGAGTATGTCAAACAGCCCCATAACGACTCGAACAGCAACCGAGTTAATCTGTTTTAGCCCGAAAGCAACCAAACTGATTTGTTTGCGCCTTAGCAGTAATTGAATATCCCCGTTTCCGCTTAGGCAATGTGCTGCGGCATAAACATAATAGGAAAAGGGAGAAGCAAAGGAAAAAATATGAGAAGAAGGACATGTCGATACCTCTTGGACAATTACTTGAACACTTAAAGGGCAGGAGCACTAGAGGTGGAAGTTGATGAAAACCTTACGTAGAAGCTCGCTAGAAATTCATCTTACACAGCAAATAACACCAAGACAACAAATATCGAGCATCATCAAAGAGAGAAAAAAAAGGAGAACAAGAAAAAGAAAAGTTTAGCCTAGAAACGTACCTGCTCTGTAGCCTTCGGATGTGGAAGAAAATAAGAAGAGAACATCCCTTTTTATAGATGCTAAACAACTCCTATGTCTTGAAGAGTTGGAGTAATAAGGGGATTTTGAGTTTGATTGAAAATAGGATCAAGAGTCCTGCTATCAAATCTAATTTCTAGAAACTCTGTTCAGCACTGAATTAACTGCAGGAGGACTCTCGTGTCGTTGCGTGTGCTGTCAATGGCATAGTAACGATAGGAAAAGGATATCACAAATTGTCAAAACTCACAAAGTGTTGCAGGGTATCCTAAATATTGAGGAAAATAATGGAGTTGAGCTCATGATGAAATGGGCTAATGAGAATTGTGTATATGGCCTTTTGGTTCTTAAACGGTTGCAATAATTAAAAAAAATGGTGGAATTTTGCTCTTTCGGCTGTCACATGAATATTGAAGTGTCCACTGCGTAAGAGACTTAAAGGGCTGTGTTCTGTGTATGAGAACACCTTATTTTGGGCCTAACACAAACTCAAGGTCAAAATTATGGTAGGTGTTATTGAAGTTTCAGGCCCAGATGTACATCTTGGGCATTTGACAATTTATCATCATACTTCACGAAAATGGTTGGAATTGGGCCCAACCAAATAAAAATGTGTTGATGGAATGGACCAAGTCTTAATTATGGCCAAAGTGTGAATTACGGGAATGATGATGGATCATCTATTTAAAAAGTATTGGGCTCTATTTAATTTCATAAGTCCATATCATTATTCTCAAGACTCAAGTTAAGAAATTCGTGACTTATTCACTCCAAGACGCGTCGTCTGTGAACAAGTCTCGAGGGGGCATTTGTAGACAATTAAATTTTGAGCCAATAAAATGGCAACAAGTGTCAAATTCCATGTTAAAATCAATTTAATAATTTTCTATTTTATTTGGGAAATTAATCAAATTTTAATTCCTAAATTAAATAGTTAATTAATTGATTATTTAATATATATTGTTGGCCAATTAAAGAATGCCACATGTATATTTTGAAGGCCAATTAAAGAATGCCACATGTCATTTTCTTGGAGAGTAAAATAAATAATTATTTCTTTTAATAATTATTAAAGAGATAAAGAAGTGGAAATTCATGGACCAATCAAATTGAAGTCTTCTTTTCCAAGAGTCCATCTTCTAATTATCTCTCTAATAAATAAATATTGGAAATTATGGACCAATCAAATTGAAGTCTTCTTTTTCAAAACTCCCTCTCCTAACACCTATAAATAGGGACCCTCCCTAAGGTGAAAAATCACAATTCATATTCATATTTCAAGTTTCAAGTTCAAGAGCTCTAGAGAATTCTCTCCACGAGATTCAAGTGTTCTTGAAGATCCAAAGGCGTTCTTGAAGATTCGAAGGAAGATTCAAGCGCATTCAAGCTCAAGACCAACGTTCAATCCGGAAACAAGCTGCCAAGCCTCCGAATTACGTTATTAAAGTCAAATCCGGCGTAGAGAAGATCGAAGATCAACTTTGCGACGAAGACCAAGGACTCGTGTTCTTCACGTTCTTGGGAAATCAAGACGTTCGATTCGAGATCAAGCTGTCAAGCCCTCGAAGAAACGTTATTTAAACTCATATTCAAGACCGGCGGAGATCAAACTGAAGATTCATCTCCAAAAGTCTCAAATCCACTTGAATATTGTTCTTGAAGAAATTAATCAGAGGAATAATAGAGATTTAGAATCCACTTTATTTCATTTGATCCGTTGAAATCCATTTGTACGAAGTTCTCGTGTTTATAAATTCAATAATACGAATTTTGCGTTACAGATGGCCATCGGTACGGTTGTCCCCGTCGATGTAATACGGTTGCCCTTGCGAGGCAAGTCTCCTTAAGACCTATTATGAAAGGCCGTGTCCTTGCGTGGCACGTACTCTCGCCGTTAGGGTTATGAATCCCCTTTCCGTGACTATTATTAAAGATGTGTACACAGGAGTATTTATGTTTATGTTGGAGATGTGACATATGTGATATTATTTATGTTCATGCTGCGACCATGCCTATTTAACATGGTACCAAATGTGCATTGCATAGTGTGAGTACGATATTTAATTGTACTCACTCCCACCTGCTCGTAACTGATGCAGGTTAAGCAGTGGTGCGTGACGAGGAAAGGGGAGTGGTGGTCACACTTATTTATTATGTTTATTTAATTGCTTCCGCTTTTCACGAACTTATGTTGGTATTGAACTTACGTTGGTTTTGAGTTGGAACTTGTTTATTTTGAAAACATTTGGATTTGGTTCATGTTGAAAAACCTTTCTTGATATATGATTGAGTTCATCCGGATGTTTATGTTTACGTTATGTGGTTAATGAAAACCGTTGGAAAAATTGGGTAATGAATCCCCGTAGTTCAGTTATGACTTGAACTGCGTTTTTGAAAAGAATGAGTAACGCCAAAAGTTTATGATTCGAAAAATAAGTTTCGAAAATTTTTACCTTGATTTTTGGAAAAGCCATGGATTTTCTTTAAAAAAATCAATTGGGGCGTTACATAAGTTGTGGGACATGATCAAGAAATTTGATTTGCTCCATTGTGGTCCTCACTTTGATTCTACTGCTTCCTGAGAAGAAGAAACAAATCCAACCCAAGCAATATAAAGATTAAAAGGATCACAATATTTTGCTTATCTAAAATTAACATGTTCAATATTTTGCTGTAATCTGCTCTGTACAATTAACCTGCTTGAAACGATGGTGGATCTTTGTTAGCATCCAAGCAGGTTTCTGTTTGTATTATTAGCATTATGATGCATAGGGTTGAAGCCTGTATAATGTAGCATCAACATTTTAAGTTGAGTTTGCAATGATTTAGCAATTACTAATGTGTACATCATGGATTTGTTGTAAAAATCATTCAAAATACTAGAATGAGATTAAGAAAAAAAAAAACAAGGGTAGCCATATATGTCGTGTAGGGAACTCTAGTTCGTAAACAGAACAACTATGCTACACAGTAATAAGATAGCTATAACCCAAAGAGTTGCATGTGCATTTCTATCGATTCTCATATTACTGGGAAGATATAGTAAAGGTACTTTTTATACCAAGAGATTCAATTTAGCCTAATGAGCAGTGCACGGACTACAAACCAGCCTCCTGTGGTATTAGATACCAATTATAAATGCAAAGGGAATGTCATGAAAACAGCCAATTGAAGAAATGATATTAAAAGGGATGATAAACAACTGCAATAGCTGCCAAGGAGATAACTCCACTTCTCAGTTCCAGCTTATATGATATTTAAAGGGATGATAAAACCCAGCTTATTGATCTGATGCCTAATTTATATAGCTATTACAATCACGAGTAAACAAGAAAACAATATATCAAGTCCCAATGATCTTGGAGCTAATCTACTTTGTTTCCTTCCTTAGTGGTGACAAGATATTCCTGATCATTTTTTTCCTTCTACATATATTATATTGATTCTTTCCTTTTCGCGGAGCTTTCTCTACCAGAATGCGACTACAAAATATCACAATTTGTTACCCTGCAACCTAGTGGATACATAGATACACCAGTGACATAGCACAATGTTGATTCTTTCCTTTACGAGGAGCTTTGTCTATCAGAGTGCGGCTACAAATATCATAATTTGTTACGCTGCGACCTAGTGGATACACCAGTCACATGAATTTACATTTTGCCTTGGCAATATCTATTCACACCATATGCTAACTTCACGGAAAGAGATGGTGCAGCAATTGCCTTATTAAAAGAACCAGCAGTGAACTGCAATTGCTCAATCCAACCAAATCCAACGGACCAACGCCAAAGAAGAGCTCAAGACATGCTAGCAGGAGCTAGTTTCTCACGAAGCTTTGCAATCCTGGCCTGGAGAAGGAAAGAAAAAAGTTACATTTAACGAATGTCAGAATGGTTAGTCAACAGACAAATGTTTGAAACTAAACTAGACCACCCCATACAACTCAAACACAATAATTTGTGATTTTCTTTTGGTTTCTTATTTGTTTACTACGTACGTTGAATGATTTTGAACGGCGAATAGATGGATCTAAGTCCAAAGCAATCGAGAAGGACTCCCCAGCTCCATCAAATTGTTTCATTGCAAGAAATACATCACCTTCACAAAGATACGCCTGAAAAATAAAATAGAATTTGACGACCGGTCAGATTGGTATTAAATGACATAACAACACTTTGGTTAAAAGATGGAAAAATCATTATGTGCGTACATTTATTTTGGTTTCAGGCAGACATCATATGGTTTTGACTGTTATGTAAAAGTAGAGGCATTCATTCAGGCAGTGTTATGAAAACAATTAGCACTTGCCTCAGGGTAGTGAGGTGCAAGGCTCATCGCCTCTTTAGCATCTTCAAGTGCTCCATTAATGTTTCCCATTGTCAATCTTGCTGCAGACCTAGACATAAAATATATTATACAGCAGAGTTCATCACACATTTTTCACAAAGTCGAATAAAGAAAGACTCTGCACTACTCATATACGCACTAAACGAATATGATCTCCACAAACCTGTCCTTGTAAATTATATGGAGACCCCCAAATGGTTTAAGATGTATAGCCTGCAAATCAGAACTCCAGCAAATAAGACTTAAGATTGTGGTAGTACAAGAACGAATGTGTTAGCTCTATGGGGTGCAGAGATAATGCATATATGTTTCACTTTAACGATTATACAACCTGGGAGAGTAAATCACAAGCCTTTGCAAAATCACCTCGGCCCGCTTCATCTTCAGCTATCTTCCTCAAAGCCAATGCTTCCAAACACTTGTTGGCCACGTCGCCTTCGTCCTCAATCCCACAGACGGTCGACATCAGATCAGCAGCCTTTATTGGCGTCCCACAATGCCCCACGAATACACCATCCGGCAAGATTACGATATTGGGACCCGACCCGCACCGCCCGAGGCACCCACAGGATTTGACGGTGACGGACGACGGGGAGATACCGGAAAGCAGTTGAAAAATGTCCAGAGACCCTTGCATTCTGCAAGTCCTATTTGTACACACTCTTATTTCGATTTTGTCCTTGATATTTTGTGAAGGCGGTAATGGAGATGACGAAGCTTTTGGCGGTCTACTGCTGGCTCGTATTGTTGTACGATTACTTGAAAGGAGAAGCAAATGGGCACCGGAACTTGTTGAAGTAATCTCCATTGTTATAGCTACCGCGGCTTTTTAAGTGTGGGTTGGTGATGACAGTTTGAAGCTTCAGAAAGCTGTGCGCACTGGGTTGAGGAAATTAATAGGGTACGGTTTGGGGATGACAGTAGGTACGACGTCGTATCAAATAAAAGACTAATTGCCGCGGAAAAAGTGGTTAATATGGTTATCAAAATTAAATATAATCAGTGACGGATCTAAGAATTTGACTCAAGAGGCCCGATTTTAGATATTATAACGAGCTTGTAGTTTAAGTCGAAACACTCATTTATTATAATAATATATTTACTATAAATATAAATATCGATATGGGTATCATTAAATTTTTCAAAACTTAGAATCTATATCACCCTCAAACTTTTAAAAAAATAAACCAAAAAAATATGAGATTTAATGTATTTATAACTTAAGTTCAACATCTATATTTTATGGAAAAATAACTTTTTTTGATTGAAATATTTATTTAAATTGAGCTTTTGCAGCACATTGCATAGCGTTTTTGTTTATGAGAATTTATCAAATGAACATTTTTTTGAGAAGTTAAATAAATAAATTTAAAAATATGTGTTTACAAAAAAGTACAAAAATCAACATTAAATAATATAACGTCAAAAGAGTAATTTATTATAAATATTTTCAAAAATTTATCTAGATAGATAAAGTATAAGGATTATTAGTGTATTTTTCAGTAAATAAATAATATTATTAATTTAAATTAAAAAACATAGAAAATAATTTTTAATTATTAATATATTTTACATATTTTTTACATTTCTATACATATTTTATAGCATTTTCTTTATATATATATTATTAATTATTTTTAAAAAGAAATTCCATTAAAACAGCATAACATACTGAATTCCAAAATTGTCTCAAAAGGAAGTTACAAATAAAAATATTAATTGAAAATTTAAAATCAATAACTGTTTGATCTCTCTTCCGCATTTTATTCTCTTTGTTCCTTCTCTCTCTATTTTTCTTTTCACGTTTTTTCTTCTCTCTTCTTCTTCAACCTATTTTTCAATTTCTTTCTTCAATCTTCAACACCTGAGAATAAAAACAACAACAAAAACAATAAAAATTAAAAAAGATTGATCAATACAATTAAATTAACTAAAAAGCAATAGAAATATTTGTTATTGTAACTTAAAAAATTAATAATGTATATTATGAAAACATCAAAAGTAACAATAAAACAACATAACATTTATCAAACAACAATAAAACAACAACATAACATTTATCAAGTAACATGAAAACAACTATGTATAAATAATAAAATATTATCTCTTGATTATGCAAATAACTATCTATAAACAATAAAAGTTTTTTCAAAAAATTGCAAACAATATGTTCGGATGCAAACAACCACATTGAAAGAGGTAAAATGAAGAGTAAACATTTACTATAAAATAATCACAATTTGCATAATTAAGACAAGTTGCAGCTTCAGAATAAAAAATTATCAAACTTTTTGCTTAATGTCACTCCCCTTCTCAAAACCCAACATTTAGTATTTGGAATTTCATATATATTACTTAAATTCCCAACTGCGATGAATTTTTTACCATACAAACAAGATGATAAAATTGGAGCAGCTGCTATTTCGATTAATAGCTAAACATAAGGGAAAAAAAATCATTACTCGAACATGATAATGCCGCCGATGAAAGTCACCCACAAGGCAGCGCCCCAGGCGATGGAAAAACAGAGGAGGTGAGCCAATTTCAGTCCGGTCACGAGCACAAGTGAGTTCTGGCCGTCCAATTTCGATCCGAAGATTTCCGGCTAGAAATTAACCCAATTGCCAGAAACGCCAGCATGGTTAGAAATCTTGTCATCCAAGCCATCTCTTATTCTTCCTCTTTACTTTCGTTCTGAATTCATTCTAAAATTGAGGATTTCGAGTAATCTTATTCGATTTTTTAGGGTGCTTAAAAACCCTAATAGAAAGAAAAAATGGACGCCTAAGAAAAAAGAGAGAAGAATATATATGAAAAGCAGAAAAGGTTATGGACTTTTCTTTTTTCCTATAAAACTGACAAATATTATGAAAAGGTGGGGCGGTTAAAAAAATAAAATCGAATAAAACAAATAACTGCCATATTTGTCAAAACTCAAAAGCGTCCAAAAAAATGATAAAATTGAAAACAAAAGGAGTAATTTTGTCTAAATAATAAGTTGGGATTATTATGTAAACTGTTTAAACCAATGGATAGGGGATGTCATTTATTCTTTTATAGTTCGCGAAGAAGAAAAGTGACAAATTTGCCATGTCCTAGTAGTCTCTGGAGTGGAGAAAATCACCACTCACGTATGGCGACTTCCCCTTGTGCTCTTATCACCATGACCCATTTATCCAAATCCCATTCCGCAGCCAGTAAAACGAGTTCCTCCACGCCTTGCTTTCAAAAACTTCCATCTTTCCACAGTGAAACACGAAATCTCATTTCCGTAAATCTTACGGGGTGCTGCAAAATTCCTGTTTTGGGCAGAACTTGCTGGAATTGCAGAAAAAGTTTCAATTTTTCAGCACTGTCTTCTTCGTCCGGCAACTGGGTGGAGGTAGAGATTGACCGAATTCCCAACGGATACCAAAATGAGGATGAACTGATAGTAGTTAATTTTTACAGATTCGTGTTTGTAGAAAACCCTCGAGAGGAGGTTTCTAAACACCTCGCTTTCATGCAGGTCTCTCTCTCTTTCATTGCCTTTTACTGCTTTATTTGTTTTCGCATAAGGTGTGGAGCTAGAGCTTTTCATGGTTTGTGCTATGAGTGATCGTTATTTCCAGTGTGTCATTTTAAGGTTCAAGTTGGGTTCATTGAAAAGGGTTGTACTTGATAGAATTTAAGGTGAGATTATTACTATAAAAAAAAAAAATACGAGCTGCTGGAGCATATAATCCTTATCTTACTATGAGTGGTATTGCTATGCTTGTGCACAAGAATTTGAATTAAGATGAGATTTGGTTAGGTTTAAACAATGAGGATAGGGACTAAATCAGCTATTATATCAAATTCAAGTTGATTTTGTTTGACCATATGCCTGAACTACACACTGTTTCCTTCTTCATGAGTAACTGTATGCCTTTGGATTCTCGTTTTAGGGGCGGGATATACATGGTCGTATATACCTGAATGAGCAAGGGATTAATGCTCAGGTATATCTTTTTATTTTCCCTTGTCCTCTGTTCTTTAGATATATGAAGGAAATTTCGGAAAAATGCCACTTTTAGTTAATAGTATGAAATTAAACATGTTATGCTTTAGAAATTTGATATTTAAGTATTTTTGTGTGCATTTGGCATACTATCTCCATAGTAACAGTTTAGCAATTTAAAGTGTAAGCTCCCTTGACCTTTTAACTTGAAACAGATGGTAGAAAGCCTAATACCAGAGCTGCTACTGCTTGAATGAGTAATTTTTCTCCCTCAGCATATTAGTTGACTGGATATTCCATTGCTTGCAGTACAGTGGGCCGTCTAAAGATGCACTAGCATATGTTGAATGGGTTAGGGAAGACGACAGGTTTTCTGACATATTGGTTCAGATATCTCCAGCTATAAATGGCCATGCATTTCCAAAATTGAAGCTGCGTTATAAGCCATCACTCGTGCAGGCAAGCGAGATTCTCATTACTTCTCTTTAACTGTCTTACTAGTGCGCTTCCGAGTGGCATCGCACGGGAGCATAACATAAATAAAATGACAAAACATTAAATTTATTAATCTGCTTGGGTTTTGAGGTTCTTATGCTTTTCTGATATAAAGGCACAACATTTTGCTATGTGCTGAAGTATACACATCCAGCATTGAACATATGATGTATGGCGAACTCTTTACTACATACTTTGTTTGCAGTTGGAAGAGGGTACTTCACATCTACCTTTGCTTGATCTGTCAGTGAGAGCTACACCTCTTACACCATCTGAATGGAGGAACAGGCTGGAAGCAGTTAATAGGACTGATAACTCATTGAGTAGAAAGAACACCAAGATCATTCTACTCGATGTGAGAAATGGTAACCCTTTCCAACATAGTTTGTCTTTAATCCATGTGCATGAATGTGTGCTGTTTTTGCTCCTTGGAAATGTACAAAGAGTGTACACGAGTCCTTATTTTATCCCTTTTCTCTGTTATTTATCACTATAAAATCCTGTTTGATTCTTTTACATGAATTCTAAACTCTATACTTATGATCTTTTTAGTTCTGTTATGTTACTATTATCCAGGTGATATGAACCTCGTCCACTGCTCGAGCCACTTTAAATTGTGTGTTTGTCATTAATAATTAAGAATACTGTGCAAATTAATTAAATACTTTTATGCAATTAGGTTATGAATGGGATGTTGGCCATTTCCATGGGGCTCAACGTCCTAATGTTGATTTCTTCCGAAGCACTTCCATTGGACTATCTGAGACAGAGGCAAGACCATATTTTTTACATACTTCATATTCCCTTCTATATATCTCCACTTTTCTGGGTTATGCCTACGATAATACCCATGTGAACATTATACCTTTATAACACCATTATAAAGGTTATTTCAACATCTTCGGTCTTGTATTTCAATGAATTTATTACCATGCATATGGTCAGTGGTCAATAGTTTCTATTCGATGTACCGAACGTAATGTGGACTGATCTATGACCAGTTTGCAGCTTCAGATCCTTTAGCGGCAGTTGATAAAGAGAACACAGATATATTGATGTACTGTACAGGAGGAATTCGCTGTGATGTATACTCAACAATGCTTAGGTCAATTTCATGATTTCATCAATTAAGTTTTAAATACATTTCTGATTCGCTTTTGTATATTTGTGTATACATTGTTTGCTTGGTCATAACATTGTACTTAACTGGTCCAGCTTGATATGTATATTTTCCATTTCCTCCTTAAATTACCAATTTTTTTAGGCTATTCACATTGATAACTGTAGGGCTTGGAGTCACAAGTGTATCTCATTTCACGACTTTGTAGTAGCTATCTCTCATTTCACGACTTTGTAGTAGCTATCAGTAACACCTGTGCCTTTCTATCTCGTGTTGGGAACTTGTTGGAAAAAGATCTGAAATGTTGTTGTACTAATTTCCTGACTCACATTAACTTCTCTTTGATGTTGGGGATAAATGCAGGGGATATTATGAACATATGTAGGATCTGGTCTGAATATAACTCAGTATAGTCGAAAATTAAATTCTCCGGAGTCTAGTTTGAATATTATAGAGCAAGCAATCTTTTTCCAGCAACTTTTTTTTTTTTTCATGTATGCCTTGTTCACATGTAACACTCCCACATAAGGGAAAAAATATGATGCAAACAAACCTCAAGACTTAAGAGGTATATTTACTTTTGGGACTTAATGCCGCAGATTGTTTTGTTGCACTTTTAAGCTTGTCATTGTTTGCAGGCAGCACGGTTTCAAAAGACTGTATACTTTAAAGGGAGGTGTCTCTCATTACCTCGAAAATGAAGGTTGTGCTGGATGGATTGGCAATCTTTTTGTATTTGATTCCCGCCTTTCTCTACCACCATCAACCTACAATCGTGAAATCTGTGCTGAGGCAACTGGAAAAAGGTCACATTTGCTTCAGTCATTTGCTAAATGCTACATATGTGAGTCTCAAGTATCTGAGTTGAGGCACCGAAATTGCGCCAATCTGGATTGCAACTTGCTCTTTCTGTAAGAATTTGCTCTCAAGATGCTAAAAGCTCTGATGTCTATGACATGTATACTGTGACCTAAAGAAATTCTTGTCAATGAAAAATTATATACAAAGACCAAATAAACTACACTATACATTGTATGAATGCGCAAGTATAACGTTGCATGGGAATCTGATTACAGGTGCTGCTTGAAATGTGTGGATGGTTTGAGAGGGTGCTGCTGCATTAAGTGCACATCTGCAGCTCGGCTTAGACCCGTGCTGCAAGGGCACCAGAGATACGACAAGTGGCATAACTATCGACATCTCGAGTCGAAAGTAAATTCGATGCCTTGAATTTCTCTTTACACATTTGCAGGAAGTAGTTTTTTTTTTTTTTTTACCTGTTCAATGATTTTGAGTTCATGTACGGATTGAAGTGAGGAACTTGTCCTGAGTTTTATCTAAGTGTTGAGTAGCTCCCAGAAAGGCGTGTATGTAAATAATCCCATTTGAAAAACAATTCATAGCAGGAAAGAATCTTTGTTAAAATTTTGATTTTAGAATATGAAAAATAGAGAGAAAATCATATGTTAAAATTGGCATGTTGGATTCTTGTTATATATAGATAACATGAATTTCATTTTAGCTATTTTTTGTAACAATGTTTTGAGTTAAAAATTGAAAATATCTATATATGCACACATATATGAGAATGTTAAATCAATATTTCTATTCTTAATCTATTGTTACATTATTTATATAAAATAAATTAATATTGCACATAATTTGGACAAATCTTTGTGATGTCAAGTAATTGTTACTCACATTGAAATAATGCAACACAATTTGACATAGATTATCACAGAACTATACCATATCATATGTATTATATTACATATTCATATCAATATTTTGATTTGTTGATGCATTAAATCAAAGAGTATTTTCGTTTTAAAAAAAGTGCTAATTGAACGATTTATTGGTAATTGCGGCTCATTATTAAAGGAAATAATTAAGCCATATCATAAGATACTTTAATTACTCAAATAATGTGAATTAATTAATATATGGTATATAGTGGACGAATTCAGTTTTGGTTTTGATGTTGTTTCTATAGAAAATAAAGTAATCAATATATGGTATAAACTAAGCAAATTTATTTAGGTTATTATTGTGAAAAATTAATCAATATACGATGTACTTTTTTCTGTGATGCGCAGGCTAATATATTGATTTTTAGGCGTGTATTTCAATTTTATTTCAATTTTTTCGTATAAAATTAACATAATAAAATTACCGTAACTCTGATAAATAATATGAACTGATATTTTGATATAATATTGTGTGTGTATCGATATTTTTTTGTAGAAAAAGTTCAAGTCCATTTTTTTTTTTGTATAATTAGTGTGTCTCTATTTAATTCATTTTTTGTTACGTCTTTTCAAATAATTTTTGTGTGAAATTCACTGTTCATTTTTAAGCATGATAAAGAGTGTCTATTTTTTTGGCATAAAAATCTTATGACTGGTTGCTTTTACTCAACTACTTAAATTTTTTGATTTGAAAATTTTATACAAAAATAAATTTATTTTAATTAATTAAACAATATAATTTTTATATTTATACTTATTATTCACATAGGTTTTTAAAAATATGACAAAATGTTACCAAAATAATTATTTTAGGGAATCACGTTATAGTCAAATCGAATTTCTGAATAAAATTTTAAAATGACACATATTTATAAATTATATAATGTAATTTATTATCAATTATGTGCAACGTATGAGATGCGTACTAATTTTAAATAGACATTTTTATGTATTTTTGCACAATTTAAATTTTATATAACATTTTCAATAAATTATATAGGTACATTGTATTACATATTGATTCTATCTTTCTAATTTATAAATATTATTTAATGATAATTTTTAATTTATGAATATTAATTAATATCTATTACCCGTGCATCGCACGAGATTCGTACTAGTTTGGTATAGAACAAACTAGGACTGGTATTATTTGACCGAAAACAAAAAACGAACCGACGAGAAAATAAATCGAACCGAACCGACTCTTGTGTAACGGTAACCGAGAAAATAAACCGAACCGAACCGACTATTGTGTAACGGTTACCGATAGTCGGTTGCCGAATATTTATCGGTTCGGTATCGAACCGATAATATATTAAAAAAAGAGATGTTAGATAATAGATAGATTATTAATTTATTAGGCATTAATAATAAATTAAGTTAATTTATTAGTTAAAAAATAATAAATTAAGTTAATAAAATGTCTTAATTAAATTAGTTGACCGATTGAATTTAGGGCTGCGAATTAAATCAGAAATCAGATCACCCTCCTGTCTTTCCCGTTCTCCTTCACCTTCACGCGAATAAATTAGAATTGATGAGCCTCTGCCTCGACGCGAGGTCACCGTTCATCTCACTTTCGCCTCCTTCCATCACCTCCGCCTCTTCTGTCACTCGTTGGAGTCACTTCTCTCATTCGTTGGAGTTGCGATAGGGCTGGTATGTATTTTATTTATGCTTCAAACTGATTTTTCTCATTATTGTAATGTTTTGTTCAGTTGAATTATTTCTTTTTTGTGTCTAGAAGATGTGATGTGAGGCAATTTATTAATGGTTATGCTTGAATTTTGATTCATACGGGCAAATTTTATGTTGAAGAATTATGTGATTGTTTGTGGTAGGTTTGGTTGTTTGACAATGTAAAATTTATGAAATTTAGAAATACTAAGTCCCCAGGGAATTGCATCCTTGTATGCTTATATAGTTATATTATCTCTCTTTTCTTTTTCTCATATGAACTAAAGCAGTGGAATTACATGCATCTAAGAACTGATATGTTTTAGTTTTCCATCGTTATTTAGCTGATTGGTATTCACATTTGTAATTTGTTATCCTGTTAAACTTGTGATTGAATTTGGAAGTTGGATACTTGGATTTTGTTATCCTATTAAGCTTATATTGTTATTCACTAATTTGTTATTTGTTAAGCCTTAGGCTATGTTTGGTTCAAAGGAGGGGAGGGGAGGGGAGGTGATTTAATGGAAGGGAGGGGAGGGGAGGGGAAGGGAGGGAATGTAATTTTACCTTGTTTGGAGGGATTTTGTAGGAGGGGAGGTGAAGGAAAATGATTAACCTTGTTTGGTTAGAAGATGAAGGAGGAGGGAAAATAAAATTACATGGACAAATATACCCTTACTTATGTTTTACTTATATTGAGTAATTTAGTAATTATAATGAATTGATAAGGGCACATTAGTACAAAAAAGTATAAGACTTAACTTCCCCTCCAAATCCCCCAAAATTGGAGGGGAGCTGATTTTCCCTCGGGTGGGAGAATGGAGGGGAAAATTCTACTCCCCTACCTTGCCAAAAGTTGAACCAAACAGAGGAAAATAAAAATATTCCTTCCCCTCCCTTCCCCTCCCCTTTGATTCCCCCGAACCAAACACAGGGTTAAAGCCTGTTATTTGGATATGGTGTGCCTGCTGCTCTCTATATATATTTTTTTCTCTCTTTGTATGCCCAACCTGCTGGTTTTGTTTTTTTTTCTTTCCCTCTGCCAATGAACAGTAATTTCGATTTTTTTTTGTTCTTATCGGTTTAAACCGAAACCGAACCGCCTTATCGATAACAGAAAAATTGGTTACCGACCTCTTATCGGTTCGGTTTTGGTTTGAATATTAGTGAAACCGAAACCTATCGGTTCGTTTTCAGTTTTATGTTATCAGTTCGGTTACCGAACCGATACCAGCCCGAAAACAAACACAATGAAAGCGTGGTGAGCAAACTCGGGGATTATTACTTTTTTTCTTATAAATATAAATTTTATTAAATTTTAAGATATAAGTTAGTTAAATATTTCATAATTTTAAAAATATGTAAATAAAAGTCTACACACTAACCAATTCAAAACACCGGTGAGTTGACATTTAGAATTATGAAATATAAAAAATTAACACTTAAATTCTGACGACTCTACGGTTATGTTCGTTAAAACTAGCTGATAAGCTAGATTATAGCTTATAAGGCTACTACGTTTTGTAAAACTAGCTGATAAGCTAGCTTATTGCTTATAAGTAATTTTCGAGTTTATAGCTGAAAAACTAACTTATATGTTAAAAGTGTATGGTAAAATTATAGCTTTTAGTTTATTACTTATAGCTGAAAAACTATAAAAGTGTATGGTAAAATTAGCTGATAAGCTATCTGAAGTAAAAATTTAATATGCTAACTTATAGCTTATAAGTAATTTTCTAGCTTATTGCTTATAACTTATGACTTATAGATGAAAAACTAGCTTATATGATAAAAGTATTTAGTAAAATTAATTGATAAGCTAGCTGAAATAAAAATTTCAATGAGCTTATTTGAAAAGCTACCTTAAGAAGCTTATCAGATAAGTTCGCGCTTTTTAAATAAGTTTGTCCTACCCAACGGAGCTCATTTGAATACAGAGAGCTTATAAATAAGTTTCATTTTGTAGGACGACTTTTTTTTAAAAAGCTCGAACTTATCTCATAAGCTTCTTTAGTTAGCTTTCAATAAGCTCGTTGAAATTTTTTATTTCAGCTAGCTTATCAATTAATTTTACCAAACACTTTTATCATATAAGCTAGGTTATCAGGTATAAGTCTTAAGTTCTAAGCTATAAACTCGAAAATTACTAAATAAGCTATAAGCTAGCTTATCAACTATCAACTAGTTTTACCAAACATATACCTAATCTTAAACTATAAGCTAGCTTATTTGGTTACTAAACATAGCCTAAGTGATTTTCAAACTTATATGATACAAGTGTTAGGTAAAATTAGCTGATATGCTAGCTAAAATAAAAATTTCAACAAGCTTATTTGAAAAACTACTCAAAGAAGCTTATAAGATAAGCTCGAACTTTTTAAAAAAGCTCATCCTATCAAACGAAACTTATTTGAATACTGAAAAACTTATAAGCTGACCAAATAAGCTGTAAGCTAACTTATTACGTTTATACAATAGATTTGAATTAATAAATTTAGTAAAAATATCAATATTTAAAAAAAATAATTTAAAATATAGAAAAATAAATTAATTCACAAAATAACTTATATGTATTCAGTATATAAAGATATTTTTATTTATATCAAAATGTATAAAACAATATTCAATAATAACAATTAGAAAAAAAAAGTTAAGTGTTGGATAGGAATGAATGACCATTGTTATATGACAACTCCAAGGCCATACTTGTAAAACGCAGGTATGGACTGTGGAGCAGCGATCGTTTACAGCCACGTCAACTGGTAGCGCCCTCCGACTTTGTAAATTCTCAGATCAACATAGCCTTCTAACCCTAATATGTCCAATATGAGATGAGCCTCAAGAAGATGAAGATGAAGAGGAAGAGCAACGAACCGCAACAATTTGAGTTCTGCGACGTCTGTAGATTAAACCATAACCAGGGTCGCCGCCACAATTACTTCCCTACTCACAAAGCTTCGCTCGCCACGCTCCTTACGCGCTTCCAGTCCAAGCTCACCCATGTCAAATCCTTCCTTAAATCCCCGACGCCTATCCGCCCCGACTTCGCGAATCAAAACCGCCTCTGGTGCATCTTCTGCAATTGCAACATTCTCGAGCTCGATAACCCATTCTCTTGGTCAGTAGCTTGCAATAATGTTTGGGATACAATTAATATTATTCTTATTAATTTATAGTAACTCTTTTGAGACTTTCAGTGGCAATGTGATCCAACATTTGGCAAGCGTAGAGCACTGGAAGAGAATTAAGGGTTTTATGTGGAAGTATGGAGGTGGGATGAATAGCGTTGATTTGTTTCGTATTAGTGAGTCGGATTATGCCAAGGTAATTTTGGTAATCACCATTTTTATCACTGCATAATCGCGTCTTGTACATCGTTAGCTTTTCTTTATTCGTGCTTGTGTTCCTAATGGGTTAAGGATGTGCTTTTATGATCTCCATGTGTATCCAGACTACATTGTTCTAATATTTATTATTCAGTGTACCTATGCAAAAGGAGAATATACTATACATTTTGAGAATGAATGATATAAAGATAATGAATAAATGATGAGAAAATTTGTATATGACCTCTTGTCTCTTGAAGCTGTAAGAAATTTGGATATCATTTTATGCCAATCCTTATATCTGTCCTTGCAGTGGGAGAAAAAATGCAGAACATTGGAGACTGAAGCTGCAAAAGCAGAATCCATTGGACCAGTTACCGGACCTCCGAAAAATATCCATAATGAACTGCATGCTGACTCTGTTAATAGTTTACAAAAAGATAATATTGATTCTTGTAATTTTTTCATTTCAAATGGTGTTGTACCTTTACATAGCTATACGAATGAGAGGACTCAGACACTCTGCTCAGTGTCATCCATTCCAGATGCTGGTCCTTCTTCACGTAATATACCTGGAAGTCTGCAAAGGGTACATGCACAGGACCCAAAAGGTTTCCTCTGCTACATATATGTGTGTGTGTGTGTGTGTGTGTGGGAGTATTTTATGTTTGATTGTATCCATAGTGGTTATAAGACACTCTGCAATATTGCAGATGTTTTTTCTAATTTATTTTCCATAAATGCCTACTAGAGAACATGGATAATCTGCATTGCTCCACTTATCATGCTAGGGAGTGCTCGTCTTATGGTTATCTCCGTGATAGAGCTGTAAGTTTACTCTTTGGTACAACTTATTACTCCATAACTTGCACTTGTTTTTCTGGTTACTGTTCGTCGCCATTCACTGGGACCAGAAACGCTTTTTTGTCCTTTGTTACCAAAAGTGTTTCCTCAGCAGGTCAACGCAGGAGTAAGAACAGCTAATGGAGAGAACACATCTCCTGGTAACTCTCTTCTTATTTTCTTCTTTTAACTCTCCTCTTAAACAGTCATGTTAGTTTTTCTCACATTTGAATAATAATATTGCTTGTAAGATTTCCAGTTCCAAGTTGTTTTCTTCTCCCAGAAGCTTGTGTTTTGCTACAGCTTATTAATTTAGTTTGTCTTAGTTCGTGGGTCATTGTTTTCTTCTGTTCTTTCATGCAAGATCGGATAAACTTGACGCGGATTTCTTCTTCATCCAAAGAAGCCTTGGAAGAAAATGTTCACAGTGGAGCACCGCCACCTTGGTTTGATGCAACCAATGGTAATCAGCTAAATGATGTGCTGAAAACAGAAGAGAAGGATCTTTTGTCTCCTAAAGCTAGGAAATCCTCAAAATTGAACCCGAAACGTGTTGGAGCTGCTTGGGCAGAAAGAAGAAAACTCGAGTTAGAGTTGGAAAAGAGAGGGGAGCTTGTTAAATACAGTTATGATGCCAATTGGCTCCCTAATTTTGGTCGAGTTTGGCAGTCCGGCCCAAGGAAAGAATCCAGAAAAGAGTTTCAGATGGAAAGTAAAGCATCCCCAAAAACGGCCGAACAAACAGAGATTGTTATGACATTACAGCCTTACATTGGGAAACGGAAGGTAAAGTCTCACATTTTTCATGTTGTTTCCATTTTAACTGCACATGATGAGTGCAATATGTGCCTTTATTCCTGAATTCTGTGTTTAGGCACCTGTTGAGTTCTTTTTTTTTTTTCTTTTTTTTTTCTCTCTGTGTGTATCTCTACTTTCTCGATCATTTTCGTCCTGAATCTCCTGATTAGAGATTCTTCTACATGTGCATCTGCATATGTCTTAAAAGCGATTGGATACTACTGTCAATTCTTGACTTACTCATTTGTTTTCGCTGCAGCTTAGGGAGACAAGAGAATGATGGTTTTGATCAACCCGAAGCTTCATATCAAATTATCAAATTATGATTTTAAAGTATAGGTGAATTCCACTGGCAATGTTAGGTGTAAAATATCTTCATACAAATGTGTACATTTGGATCTCTTGTATGAGCTTGAATGGTATTGACTATCGGTTGCGAATGCTGTTTTCCCATACTTTGCTCGAGTATGTGTTGGAACAATCTTTTAAATTTTGTGCTGACCTGAGTCTCCCCACTGGTAATCATAAAAAAAAAAAAAAGGATTCGTAGTTTCCATAAAATGGAATTAAACATTAAGAATGCGAAAGAATACAAAGGAGAAGCAGAACACCAAGTTGACTTAATTGGTACAGCAAGCATCTGAGTTGATATAGTTTTCAACAGTAAGATTATCTTGAAAGCCAGTGTGTACTTGAGTGCATTGACTCAGCTTTATCTACAATTTCTGCTCGAATTCTTGCCAAAGCTCGGCTCTGGATTTAGCAATCTCAACAAATATTACTCGGCCATCCAGAAACTGCTTGCAACTTGCAAAAGAATCATGTATTAGTAGTATACGGTAGCAATAACTCCAGAATGAAGCCAACAAACAAGAACAGGGATTTATGAGGGGCGAACTCCCCAATTAAAAATTCATATAATGCCCACATGACCAAAAAACAATAAGCTATAAAGAAATCAAAGCATGAGGACTTGGATTAGAAGAGCCAGAAGCATATCACACAACATAACTGTCAACTATAGCTATAATATAATTAGGAAAAACGAAGAACGAAAATGAAAAAGAAGAAAACAAGTCTCCTTTTAGATATGTATCTCTTTTAAAATCCCTGAATTGTGCTGCACCATAATGAAATGCCTAAGCTTAAGCAAGGGATACATATCATTTACTGACCTTGCCATGCATTCCGTCAATAGCTTTCTTAGACTCTTCCTCTGTTGCATAACTTAAGAACGCAAAGCCTCTCGGCCTATTTGCCATTTTATCCATCACCAAGTTTACTACAACCATCAGCACGTATATGCTCATATTGGTATCAGGAAAAACTCAAATTCAGAGTAAATAAGAGGGCTTTCAGAAAAAGAAACAAGTAAATAAATGAATGACGTTTCTGTACCTTCCACAAGTTCACCAAAGTTCTTGAACGCATTTCTCAGGCTCTCCTCAGTGGTCCTAAAAGAGAGCCCTGGAGAGAAACATGCCAATACTGGTTTTCATAAATGTGATATAAACATAACTTTTGCATGATCACATGATATGAAATGACAAGCATCAGATTGATTTGGTTGTATGATTGAGGTTCATCCGACCCTACCGGTGTAGATTAAAATTAACCTATGATTGAAGCAGAAGTCTGAAAATGTAATTTATGCCCATTTCACTCAACAACTACTGANAGAAAAAAAAAAAAAAAGAAGAAGAAGAAGAAGATAAATTTCAACAAAATTTGATTGAATATGCCTCTTTGTACAGAGGCTTATTAGTGTGACAACTAACGAATCGAGAAAGAAGAATTACAGATAATGTAGCAGAGAGAGCTGACCACTAACAAAAAGCCTTGTTGTTGGACTGAATCGAGTATTAGATGGAGAAGGAGACGATAGGGACGACGACACATCGTGGCGGGAGTTAAATCTTCTTAGGGGAGTAAAATTCTCGTGCGGGTATATCAGAGGAGAACTCGAGGGGCGAAATTGAAGCCGTGCAAAGTTAACTAGCGGCGCGGCCGACGACGGAAGATGTGGCCCGGTTAGAAACCGCTGGGTAAGAATCCGATGGTTGGGGGCAGCGGTAGCCATCTTCTTCGGTACTTTTTTCAGAAAAAAATGTCAATTTATTAGGTGATTGAGGTCTACGGATATGTGGCGGATGTTATATATATATATGTGGTTTTCCATCTTCTCCGGCTACTTTGTTTGGATTTTTTTTGATTTTGTTGGGTTAATTTTGAAAAATGTGGTATGGTTAGTTGTTAAAGGGTATATTAAAATAATATTTAAAATAAAATAATTAAAGTTGATTTATTTTTTGATTTGATTGAGTTAATTTTGAAAAATGTGGTATGGTTAGTTGTTAAAGGATATATTAAAATAATATTTAAAATAAAATAATTAAAGTTGGTTTGATGTAAAAGTAGGAGATAAATGGTTTGAAGTGATGGTTAGTTAAAATTATGTGAGTGGATGAATAGTGAATTAAAGTTGATGTGATGTATAAGATGATTGGTTGATATTATTTAATTATATTGATAATATTGATGATAGTTGAGTTGAGTTAAAATTGGATTAAAAAAAATGGTTGAGTTAAAAATGATTGAATTTTTTTGGATAAATTTGTATCCAAGCATCCTCATATAATTCAAACCAGTGTCTTACAAACGATCAACTGAACCGAGTAGCAACCTAATCCACAAGGCAGGAGAGCACCCAAAGGGAGATAATCAATTTTGCCTCTGTTCAAAAGTAAATTTTCAAACTTTTTTCCCATATTTCAATTAAGTGAAATCTTCAAACTATACTTTGTGATATGATATCTCAATTTAATCCATAATCAAAATCAGCTTATGGATTATTGGAAAGGACAAATTGCATAGTGTACTTTACCCAAACTTTATTTCTCATACAGTCACCCAAATTTTTTTGTTACATATAATCCAAATACTAATACTTATCGGTCAATCAAAAACATCATGAAAGAAAAAACAGATTAAAATTCAAATCAAATTTAAATGGTTCATTTGTTTTTAATTTAATCCTATTTTTTTTTATTTTTTTTTATTTTGACAATTTAAAATGTGAACTTTCAGTTTTTACTAACTAAACCACGTAATAAGTAAATCGGGTGTCAGATGCTTATTTGTTCAACTTGTTATCCAACATAGTAAAGATCAAACGTCATGCATGTGAGTTGTGACAAATGAGAAAAGTAAAGACAAAATTAAGGTTGTGAAAGTTGTATTTGTCTCACACCTTAGAATTTCAATACTCCATTACTTTTTATTGTGTTCAAAACAAATTATATTCTGTGTAATACTTGAAGATGTTGATATTGACTCTTGATTAAGGTGCAAAAGCGACTTTGGAATTTAAGGTTCTCCCCAATTTTAGTATCTGTATAAGGTAGATGTGCCAAAGTCCTTTTTTCCTCTATAAAGAAAACACAGCAGTGTGAAACTAAGAAGAGAACTAACAATTTTGAGCCAATGAGGGATTGTGCTCATATTTTAATGCGCCGATGAAACTTAGGCCTATTTAGCCTTATCGGTCTAATCATTATGAAAGGGGAGACCATTAATAAACTGAAAGTTCATTAATCCAATACTTGTGTCAATTAATTAATAGTATTATTATCGAGCAATTTGAACCGCCATAAATGAAGATCAAGACTTGAGCTGGAAATGGAAAAACAAAAGCTGCTAGCTTTACTGGTTCATTAATGAAGATACTGAAAATGATACATAAGGCTGCCATACACTAGATCCAATATACTCACACACCTAACATCTAGGGCTACACAATGTGACATATGATCAACGGCTGAGATGAACTTAAAAGGAATCTAAGCCGGTACAAACACAGCTCATGCATGCTGCCATGCACACGGTGAAAAGACAAAAAGGACCCTTTTAAGGGCTGCTGTGTTGTGCCTTGTTTGTGTGACTTTCTTGATCAATTTTAGTATTGCTTTCAAGCCCCCTCAATTCGAGCATAGGTGAGGAAAGAACATGAAGTTTATCCCGAAGCTTTGTGAAGAATTGTGTTGACAAGGGCTTTGTAAAGATGTCAGGAGTTTGCTCATGAGAAGGAAAATGCTGCACTTTGATTTTGTTGTTCAGGACCAAATCTCTGATAAAATGGAGATCTATTTCAATGTGCTTCATCCTTGAATGGTTTACAGGATTCTTAGATAAACATACTACACCAAGGTTGTCAATCCAGATGATAGGGATAGAAGAAAGCCTGAATTTCAATTCCTGTAACAAGGATTGAAGCCAAAGGATATCACAAGTGACCTTAGCTAAGCTGCGGTACTCAGCCTCAGTGCTGCTTCTGGAAACCAAAGGTTGTTTCTTGGAGCTCCAACTAATAAGATTTTTGTTCAAGTAGACACAAAAACCAGAAACAGACCTTCTATCATCAGGGTCTGTTGCCCAATCAGCATCAGCAAAAGCAGAAATTTGAAGAGAAGGGCATTTATAGAGGTGCAGACCATGATTTATAGTTCCTGCCAAATACCTGAGAACTTTTCTGAGTGCCTTCCAGTGCTTATCAAGAGGAGAGTGCATGAACTGACTTAGTTTGTTGACACTAAAGGAAAGCTCAGGCCTGGTGACTGTAACATATTGAAGTCCACCAACCATGCTCCTATACAAAGTGATTTCATCAATGGGAGAACCATCTGTTTTGGAAAGAGGAGGGTGAGTGTTCATAGGAATAGTGGAACCCTTGGCCTGGTGCATGTTGAGTTTGAATAATAGGTCCTGAATGTATTTCCTTTGAGAAAGAAAAAGGCCAGTGGGAGTGGTGATAAACTGAACACCCAAGAAATAATGCAATGGACCTAAATCTTTAACTGGAAAGTGGGCTTGCAATTGATGAATAAGGGATGAAATCTCTGAGATTGAAGAACCAGTGACAATTATGTCATCAACATATGCCATGAGGATTAATGTGGAATGAGTGGAGTGTCTGAGAAACAAACAAGTATCAGATTTTGTTGTAGAAAATCCCACGGATATAAGAACTGAGCTGAGTTTTTGTGACCAAGCTCTTGAAGCTTGTTTAAGGCCATAGAGGGTTTTATGGAGTTTGCATACAAGAGGTTCAGAAAGGTTTCAAAACCAGGTGGTTGAGCCATATACAAGTCAGAATCCAATTCTCCATTAAGAAAGGCATTTGCAACATCTAACTGTTTAATAGGCCAGGAGTTGGATAGTGCAAGGGAAAGAACAACCCTGATTGTAGCTGGTCTTACAACAGCACTAAAAGTGTCTGTATAGTCAAAACCTGGTGATTGAGAGTAGCCCTTGGCTACTAACCTAGCTTTGTACTTGTCAAGAGATCCATCTGCATGTAACTTGGTTTTGAAAACCCATTTGCACCCAATCAGTTGCTTATGGGATGGAAGTGGTGTAAGACTCCATGTTCCATTTTTTTGAAGTGCTTTAAGTTCTTCCATCATAGCACTTTTCCAAGCTGGAATAGAGAGAGCCTCCTTAGTTGTCTGAGGTTCATTTAAAATGGAAGAAGCAAGGAAAGCCTTTGGCTTGTAGATGCCAGCTTTAGATCTTGTTGTCATATGGTGGGAACCTGCAGTCTCAGAAGTGGGATTAGTAGTAGGAGCAGATATAGGCTCAATAGGTAGATTGATAACAAGTCTGCCACCTTCATCTAACAAATTATGAACTGGATCTGAAGATGAAGAGGATGGACTGCTGGTTGGTGAAGAAGGTAATGATGGTGAAGATGAGGATGAGGAAGATGTAGAAGAAGATGATGGTGGTGTTGGAGGTGGTGGTGGTGGCTGTGGGGTTTGGAAAATGGGAGGAGATGAAAAAGATGAGAAATCAGAAGAAGAATGTGATGAAGATATGTGTGTTAGTGAGGACTGGTTTTTGAATGGGAAACATCTTTCATTAAAGGTTATGTGTCTGGTGATGATGAGTTTCTTGTTGGGGAGAATAACTTTGTAGCCTTTGTGAGAGGGGCTGTAACCAAGAAAAACTCCACAAGTGCTTTTGAAGTCCAGTTTATTGGAATTGTAAGGCTTCATATAGGGGAAACATTGGCAGCCAAACACTTTGAGGTTTGTGTAATCTGGTTTTGTGGCATGTAAGGATTCAAAAGGAGATTTGAACTTGAGAACTTTGGAGGGAATTCGATTAATGAGGTAAGCAGCTGTGATAAAAGCTGAATCCCAGTGAACTTTTGGAACATGAGAAGTAGCAAGAAGGGACAGACCAACTTTTACTATGTGCCTATGCTTCCTCTCAACTAGGCCATTTTGTTCAGGAGTGTATGGACAAGACTTTCTATGTATGATCCCTTCTTGAGAAAAGAAATTTGATAAAGCTAGGAATTCTCCTCCTCCATCACTCTGAACACTTTTAATGTGTTTATGAAACTGAACTTGAACAAGTTTGTGAAAGTGCATAAAGGCTTTAGTGGTGTCAGACTTATTTTTGAGAAGATAAATCCAACTATATCTAGTAGCATGATCAATGAAATTCACATAGTATTTAAAACCACTAAAGGACCTTAGAGGAGCTGGTCCCCAGAGGTCTGTATGAACAAGCTCAAAAGGATCACATTCATAATCAGAAGCATAAAAAGGAAGTTTATGAAATTTAGCTTGCAAACAAGGAACACAAGGAGAGTTATCATAGTTCAAACTGAAAGGGATATTACAATCATTAAGTGCCCTTTTGACAATCTCAAAGGAAGGATGGCCTAATCTATCATGCCAAATTTGTAACTGATCTCCCATTTCAGTGATTACAGAATTAACAGAAAAATGGCTTTTATTCTTGGTTGCTTCAAAGCTTTGAGCATAAATTGGTTCTTTGGTTTTCTTGGATAGGTTGAATTTATAAAGACCATGATCAAGTGCCCCTTGCAGTAGGATCTTGCCTGTTGATGGTTCCTTCACAAAACAGACAGATGGATGGAATTCAAAAAACACATGATTGTCCATGGCAAATTTACTCACACTAATGAGATTTTTAGTGATTTCAGGAACATGAAGAAGATTTTTTAGAATAAAAATGTTTTTTGAAGGTGACAGAAATGTAGAACTACCATAATGAGATATATTCAAACCTACCCCATTACCAACTTGGACTCTTTCTCTCCCTTGGTATTCTGAAGCTGAGTTGAGGTTGTTGAAATCATAGGTGACATGGCTTGTTGCACCTGAGTCTGGATACCAGCTGTTTGAATCAAAGGATCCCTGTGAGTCACTCTCAAGATGAGCTACATTCACATTTGGTCCTCCTCCTTGAGTTTGGGCTGAGTTGTTGTTGTAGTGATTTCTGTCCTTAGGAGTAAAGTTGAGATCAATTTTGAAGTAACACTTTTCTGCTGTATGATTATTGTAATGGCAGATCTGGCACCTAGGCTTTCCATTATCATAACCTCTGCCTCTACCTCTGAAATTGGATCTGCCTCTCCCTCTTCCTCTTCCTCTGAAATTCCCATGGTTTTCTTGTCCTTGAGTGACCACATTCACTGAGAAGTTGCTGCTTCCATCAGTATTGGCACTATTTTGACCATCTGAGCCTTCTATTCTGGCCTCAAAACTTAGTAGCACTGAATATGCTTCCATTACAGTGCAAGGTGGGATTTTGGTAGACAAGAAAACAAGTACAGGGTTATATTCTTGAGGGAGTCCTGCTAAGATGTAGAGGACATGGTCTCTTTCATTTACCCTTTCTCCTGCAGATCCAAGTAAATCACAGCATGTTTTAATTTTGTTAAGATACTCCTTCATGGACAGATTTTCTTTCTTGATAGTCGGGAGTTGTAGCCTGTATTGCAAGATCTTGGCATGATTTTGGCTTGCAAAAGTGGACTCTAAGCATTCCCAGATCTCCTTTGAAGTTGTGAGGCCAACTGTGGTAACAAGTACACTCTCAGTGACCGAGGACAACAACCAGGAAGCCAAAAGTTGGTCTTGCCTCATCCATAGCAAGAAAGAGGGATTGGTGATTCTTTGCTGTGTTGTCGGATCTGTGATGAACTCCTCTGGTGGTTGGTGTGTTCCATTATTGAAGTGCTCCAATCCATAGCCTCTGACGGCTGCTAAAACTTGTTGTTTCCATAGAAGGTGATTTGTTTCTCCCAGTTTCACACTAATTAACTAAGATTGAAGAAATAAAGGTTGTTCATTGTTATTCTGAGGGAATGGATTTGGGTTGGCCATTGATTAATGTGAAGGGAAGCAAAGGCGGTTCAGAGACAGGCTTTTCAACCTGCTCTGATACCATATCGAGCAATTTGAACCGCCATAAATGAAGATCAAGACTTGAGCTGGAAATGGAAAAACAAAAGCTGCTAGCTTTACTGGTTCATTAATGAAGATACTGAAAATGATACATAAGGCTGCCATACACTAGATCCAATATATATACTCACACACCTAACATCTAGGGCTACACAATGTGACATATGATCAACGGCTGAGATGAACTTAAAAGGAATCTAAGCTGGTACAAACACAGCTCATGCATGCTGCCATGCACACGGTGAAAAGACAAAAAGGACCCTTTTAAGGGCTGCTGTGTTGTGCCTTGTTTGTGTGACTTTCTTGATCAATTTTAGTATTGCTTTCAATTATTAGCACTACTGCTATCAAATAATACCATGTAACATGGTATTGGTAAGAATAATAAGTTCAGAAGCTCCAGGAAAATCAGCAATACATTGATCTTGTGCATCAGCACTACACAGGAGGTTGTTTGAAAAACCCATATATCTTCAGCATTGAGTAAATAACAATTGAGCACGAAATGCATAGACAAAACCAATGGCATACACAAGGCGTTGGGCTCATTATTCTCGACTCATCAACCTTCTGAATCCAGTCTCCTCGTTTATCACCTTCGGTCCTGCTTATCATTACACTCAGCTCATCAGTTACTATATATGTAAGAGTCTTCTAAAAGAAAAATGCTTATGGCTTGCGTACCATTTTGGTGGAAATAATATATAGATGTTGAAAAAGACTTGCCTTGTTGCTTGTTTGAGCGAACTTTGTGGCTCTGGTTTAGGAGTCGGTTTGGGTGTTGGGGCAAGTTCTGGTTCTTGGGACTCATGAGTTTGCTTGGGTGGTGCTGAATCTTTACTTTCACCCGGAATAGTTATATCCTTGGCCTATAATAGCATTTTTACTTCAGCCTGACTGTCTTCTTAAGACGAAGAGTAGCTTAATAGTTTATTACTAAACTCACCAGCTTCCTGAACTGCAGATTGTAGAAAATGTCAATATATCTTTGCTTTGCTTGTTTTTGCTCGTTATTCAATACTATCCAGAATCCATAAGCTAACCCCATATTCAAAACCTTGTTCGCGTATATCTTCCATGTATAGCTGCTCCAAGAAGAAAACAGAAAAAAGAAGTCATCCAACATTTGTTCAGAAAAATACAATTACTAACAGTCATGCAAATTACCATTCCTCTATCCGCTTAAGTCCCGCCAGCGACATCCTATTCCAAAACCGGCCATCACTTTCACATTTCTCAAAGAAATCAGCAATCTTGTTGCTCGACTCATCCCCGCTGTTTGGATTGATATGGAAGCCCGAGACCCCATCGACTATAATCTCGGCGGGCCCCCCTTGATTCGTGGCAAAAGTGGGCAGCCCATAGTTGATGGCCTCAATAACTGTCAAGCCAAAAGCTTCATACAACGCGGGCTGCACGAAAGCTCCTTTTGTGTCGGCTACACAACGATAAAGCTCACTGTTTCTATATCTGTCAGTTTGAGCAGCTATCCATCTCATCTGCCCCTTCAGTTGGTATTTCTCGATTAGGGCATGCATTTTCTTGATTTCAACCATTTCTTCCCTGTCCTTGGATTTGGACGGATCAAAAAACCCACCCACAATCACGAGGTTGACTAGGTTCCTTAGTCGTCTATTTTTACCATACCATTCAGTTAGTCCCGTGATATTTTTCACGGTGTCGAGTCTTGCCATTGAGAAGATTATCGGTTTCTTTCTGTCTGTAAGGAACCCACTGTTCAAGTGAATATAAAGGTTTTCTCAACAATCAGACAAGGATATATCAAGTGAACACATATCCCCTTAGTATTTGTTTCTAACCTATGAATGAACATAATAATACCTTCACAGATGTATAAGTAATCCCAAAGAATTCGGGATCATATTGCAAATCGGCTAGCATGTGAGGTGGCTTTTTTAATTATCTCACAATTTAAGTTTTTTTATACCAAGACCAGAAATTCTGGCTAAAATCAAGAAGATGAACTTACATGTGCTCCTCATTTTCTTGCTTGTTGTAGAGAAACTGCTCAATGGCAGGCTGAAATTTCGTTAGTCGTTTTTGTTTCTCGCTAAACGGAAAATATACAGACTGATCAGCTCCAGGGGACCCGATATTGAACTTTGGATCAAACACATTTGTGCCTGATACCACTCTGTGTAGCCCCGGCATCGTGAATGCCACATGGCTTTCGTATTGTCCAGGTCGATTCTTGCTGAGAGGCCAAATATGATCAGTAAAACACAACTTCAGCTTTCCAAATAGTCTAAGAATCCAAGTATTGTATTTTTCTGGGTGATAGTTTAGTCTTTTGGTAAGACAGAATCTCAAGAGTGATATTGTAATTAAGCTTACATTTTTACTTTTTTATTAACAGACTGACCTTCCTGCAATTTCTTGATATGTACTGGTGATTATGAAATCAGCAGCATTCATTGCTATCATATCAGCTGTAAACAGGCAGGAAAAGTGGTATTTCGAGTCTAAATCCCTCTACTTCACATCTGAATCTTCATATTTAGTCTTCTCCAAAGCATGAGCAATTGTTCCCTAGGATCACAACATGCTCATTTTCATTAGTCTCTCTCTCTCTCACAAGAAACTTATTAAAACAGAGCTCATTTTAAATGCATACCAAAGGCACTCCGAGTTTGCTGCTCACTAAAGAAGCTACTAAGTTCCCATCCGTATAGTTCCCAATCATAAGGTCTGGTTTACATTCCATCAGCTCAAGAATCTTCATGGTAGCATCCTAATAATAAGTACGAGAAAAGGAAAATAATCGAGTTTAAAGAAGGAAATATTTTAGAATAATCACAAAAAACACCCCCTAATGTTCAGTTTGTCAACATAAACGTCCGGTTAGCTCGGCTTGCACCAGTTTCAAAAGTTACTTCTCAATATCTGTTGCGTACAACCTTGAAACGACCCTAGGTGTAATTACCAAAACTTGCATCTAACATGAATTCTAATAACAAGTAGTTTAAAGTCACCTGAGAAAACTTCTCAAGGTAAGGATATATGTCAAATCTGGAGACCCATGGTCCTAAAACTCCTTTCTCGGTATTAAATGGGACCCTCAGGATGTGAGAATGCGTGGTGTGAACTATAGGCTCCATCTCTTGGTTGCATTTGTTCCCTTTTGCATCTGGGATTAGACGAGTCACATACATTACAGAGCATTGCAGCATTCTCATTCTATTTGACAAAGTTGTATCTACTTGTCATTTCAGAGAAACTTATAAGCAGGCCATTCATGACCATACCACAAGAATCTGAGGTTTCACATTCAACCCTTTATTCTTTTTTTTTTTTTTTAACGGAACGATATAAGATGTATTAACTCCACAAAAACATACAAAGTTCAGTACAACGAGCCATACCCAAATAATAAGATAAAAATGAGAGGACACGCTTGAAGCGGCCTAGACCAAGCCTAACCAAGAACACAACTCAACAACCAAACTCCACTGCCATAAGGCCTAGAGAACAAATAAACAAGTCTGAAAAAACAGAAGAACAACACAGAAAGCAAAAAGCTGCAGATCAAAACAGAAAACTGAGCAAAACCAACAGAAAAGACGAAAACAAAACTAGACTAAATGCTTAAACCCGAGTGAACTCCAGCCAGTCCAGATGAGTAAATTTGATCAGAAGATGAGCAGGCATTAGTTGAGTTTGAAAGATTCAAAGATTCCGGCACTTCCACAACCACCAAAGAAGATAGGTGGTGAGCTGAATGCGAGCTACAGCAATTTCAGATGATCCCATTGTACCAACGTGTCTCCACCATCCCAGCTCACAGGAGAAATGTCCCACATTCTGACAGCTTTAGTACATTGGAAAAGAAGATGTTCAACTGTTTCTGGACTTTCACCACATCCTTGGCAGGTAGTATCCACCTCAAGACCCCTTCTGAACAGATTGGCCTTGTCTGGCAAAGTTCCATTGATGCATTCCAAACAAAGTGTTTGATTTTACCCGGGATTTTCAACTTCCAGAAGTTGTATAAACTCTGGCTTGTTGAGGAGTTGCTGCTGCAGGGTATATCAAGACTTAGGATTTTTTTCTTGGAGAGGATTGAGTAGGTGCTAGCTACTGAAAAAACTCCTTTCTTGTCAAGTTTCCAGTATTGTCTGTCAGGGGCATTTGGCTTGAGAGTTGAGATATTGAGGATGGCCTTGCTGTCCATGTCATTAAATAGCTGTTTCACCATCCATTCATTCCAGCCTTGTCCTGTGTCATTCAGCAGCTCCTTCACCCAGGTAATATGCCCTCTGGCAATATCTAAAAGAGAAGGTGTGGGTTTTGATAAGGAGAGAACCCAATTAACATCATCAAGTCTTATGGATTCCCCATTTCTTACTTCAACTGCATAACCCTTAGCAAAGATAGGAATAACCTCCAGCCAGTTGGACCAAAGCCATGAACATTTTTGAGTTTTAACTGCTGAAAATGTTGAGAAATTAGGGAAGTACATGTCCTTTAATATCTGGCTTACCAATAAGTTGGGCTGAGATGTGATCCTCCACAGCTGTTTGCAAATCAGTGCAATGTTGAAGTTTTTGATGTCTAGAAAACCCAAACCTCCTTCCTCTTTAGGCAATGAGAGGAAAATCCAGCTCTTCCAATGTAAGCCTCTAGCCTGGTCATCACCTTTGCTCCACCAGAATTGGGAGCATAATTTATTAATTTCAGCACAAATGGTGGCAGGAAGTCTGAAGCAGAACATTGAAAATACTGGCAATGTTTGAATCACTGCCTTAAGAAGGACTTCTTTACCAGCCTGAGAGAGGAGCTTGGATTTCCAGCTGTAAAGTTTGGATTTGACTGATTCTAGAATGAATTGAAAAGCCTGAATTTTGGATCTACCAATCCCAAGTGGAAGGCCCAAATACTTTGTGGATCTCTGAGGTGTGATTCCTTGTAGTGTGGCACAAATCTGCCTTTGAAGATGCTGAGGTGTGCTTTTGCACAAAAAGATGGCTGATTTCTGAAGATTGACCGTTTGGCCTGTAAATAGTCTGTATCTTTCTAAAATGTTGAGAAGCAGAATAACTTAATCATTGCTAGCTTTGCTGAAGAAAAGTGAATCATTTGCAAAGAGCAGGTGTGAGATAACAGGACCATTTCTTGACAACTTCAACCCATTCAAATTTCCTGAATCAACAGCATCAGTGACCAAAGCTGAGAGCACTTCTGCAACAATAAGGAAAAGGTATGGAGAAAGTGGGTCTCCTTGCCTTATTCCCCTAGAAGGGATAACATAGCCACTCACTGTACCATTCACCTTGAAGGAGAAAGAGGTAAATGAAATGCATATCATGATTAAATTCACAAATTCGAATTGAAAACCCATCTGAAGCATGATCTTTTTGATACAAATCCACTCTACCCGATCAAAGGCCTTCATGAGATCAAGTTTTAGAGCCATGAAATGATTTCTCCCAGATGAATGTCTGTTTAGAAAATGAAAAGCCTCCTGCCCTATGATGACATTGTCAAATATTTGTCTCCCTTTGAGGAAGGCAGATTGGGATTGACTAATGCAATTGTCCAGGAAAGCTTGTAGTCTCAAAGAAAGAGTTTTGGATAGAATTTTATAGACTACAGTGCACAAACTAATTGGTCTGTAGTGAGTGAGAAGTTCTGGGTTGGAGCATTTTGGAATAAGGGTTACAATGGTGTGATTCCAATATTTAAGCAGTGAACCATTTTCAGCAAAAAAACTAGATATTACAGCAATCAAATCCCTTTTGATCAAATCCCAAAAAGATTGGTAAAATAGAGCTGTCATACCATCTTCACCAGGGGACTTATCAGAGCTGAGACTGAAAAGAGCTCTTTGGATTTCCTCTTTTGAAACTGGCATGAGTAGTGATTGGTTCATGTCCTGAGTTATAGAGGTTTTGATTAGTGGAAGTAGGGAGTCACCTCCCCAAGACCCTTCTGATGAGAATAGGGTAGAATAAAACTCAGAAATGTGTTGTTGAATGTCTTGCTGGGTAGTGCAAACTCTGTTCTGACTGGTGAGTAGTCTAGTGATAGCATTCTGCCTTCTTCTGTGGAGGGTGAGAGCATGGAAAAATTTGGTGTTCCTGTCACCCTCCTTGAGCCATTGAGATTTTTCCTTCTGTTGCCAAAAAAGTTCTTCCAATTTGTTAACAGCTTCTAGTTACTTTCTGATAGGATTCCACTCCTCCCATTGCCCTTCTAATCTACTACCTTGCAACATTTCCAATTTCTTGTTGAGATGTGTAAATTTGGACTGTTGTTCAGTTCCGAATTTTGCACTCCATAGGATAAGGGTTTGTCTTGTCAGCTTAATCTTTTCCTTCAGTTGAAAAAAGGGGGTACCTCTAAGCTGAACATTCCAAGCTTTCTTCACAACCTCATGAATGCCATCTCTCAGCAACCACCTTTTATCAAAGTGGAATCTGGTGTTGATTCTTTCCTGTTTGGATCCAGAGTTGAGAAGGAGAAGTGAGTGGTTAGAGCAGCTTCTAGCCTCATTAGTGATGGTTGCAGTAGGGAAGTCAGCCAGCCATTCATGAGACCCAAAACCCCTGTCTAACTTCTCTTCCACTAGGCCTTCTGAGTTCCTATTGTTTCACCAGGTAAAGCCATATCCCTCCATCTTGATTTCTATCATAGCCATGTCATTGACAAAATCTTTGAATCCCATCATGCTGGTTGCAGATCTGCTATTACCATCTCTTTTTTTTTTTGAGTTTGAGAGAATATCGTTCCAGTCTCCTATAATAAACCATTTAGTGCCCCAATGAGTCATATCTTCCACCAATTGCTGCCATTGGTCTTTTCTTCTGGAAGTGCAGGTACTCATATAAACAAACACCCCCCATGATTTGGCATAGTTGGGTGTGGAGAATTTCACAGCAATATAGAAGTCTTTACTGACAATATTGAAGATTTGGGCCTCCATTGACCAAAATAATAGAAACCACTTTGACCTGTGGGATCAACAATGGAAAATCTAGTATCAAAGCCAAGTTTCCTAATAACAGATTTCACAAAGCCATTTTGTTATTTGGTTTCAGAAAGAAAAAGAAGAGTTGGATGGTGAGTTCTTTGTAACTCTCTGATTTGGGAAACTATAGAGGGCCCACCCATCCCTCTACAGTTCCACACCGCAGCTAGCATTGGTCACTTGGGTGCCATTCGAGGCTGGCATCCCCCACCTTGTCAGAAGAACTCTTTACTTTCTTGCTTTCCTCTTGGTTGATTTGGTGACCTTCATTATCTGTAAAAATGGCATCTTTCTCTTCTCTGGGTCTCTTACCCTGCAGGGAAGTGGTGTTGAGTTGGGGTACCATTTCTTGCCTTTGCAGTCTGCCCTCTTTGGATGAGGATCTTCTCCAAAATCCGGATCTAATATTCTGAGGGCCAGTCAGCATGTGAGTATTCTTGGTGTTTTCTGGAATTTCTATGTCCATTTGTTTGGATATTTCTGTGATAGGCACTACTGGTTCTGAAATCACCAAGGCTAATTCAGCAGACTTGGCCAATTCTTGGTTTCTGATATTGAGAAGATCTGATTTGGAGTGATGGATCCGTGAGTGTACAGATTTAGAAGATGAGCCAGCATTCTCAGGAGATTCTGTAATCAATGGAAGAAGCTGGTGATTTTCTTCAACCTGGCTGCTAGTGGTCTGAACAGGGGTGTTATGAGCTAGGGATGGTAGTTGCTCAGATTGAGGAGGGCTTTGTGATTCAGAGGTATTTTGGCTTACCCAGTATTGTCCATCAGGGGCCCTCATCCAATCTCCATATTGGCCTTCACGCACTGAGTCATTCTTTATATCAATCATTCTCCTGGTGCAGCTTCTATCTAGGTGGCCAATGTAGCCACAATAATGGCAATGGTTTACCAACTTCTCATATTTAAAACTTACATTAACGTTCTCATCTCCCAGTCGAAGGTTTGCGCAGCGAGGTAGGGGTTCAAGAAGGTTAACTGAAACTAGCAGTCGCAATATTTTGCCTTTATGGTGGCCTGCTCCAACTACCACCACATTTTTCACAGTTGGAAAAAACTTACTGATTTTTAGGCCGACTTTTGTGCTTAGCCAATTGAGTGGAACATTGAAAACCTGCACCCATAGATTGAGTTTCTAGAAGACTTGATGATTAATGGAAAGTCCTCTTTGCCATTCTGCTAGCACTAGGTATTGATTCTCAAAGGTCCAGTTGGCTCCGTTTGCAACGTGTTCAAGGTCATCCCTATCCTGAAACAGGAATTGGAAATAGTTGTAGCCAAGCTCCTTAACTTCCATCAGTTGTTGGAGTCTCCATATTTGAGACATTGTGCGCTTTATCCCTATCCAGTTTGCTTTTCTATCTCCGATGATTTTTCCGAACAGACTTCGGTTGCACTCTTCATCACTAATTCGTATGTCATCGTTGAAAATGTCGATAGGTTTGTTTTCCCTGTCGGAGAGGGAGAAGACTTTTAAACGTTGGGCAAGATCGTCGTCTTGTCCTATACAGGGGGTGAAAGTCATAGCTTACCAATGCCCTATTCCTCAATTTAGAGACAAAAATTAAGAAAATAAGCGGTTGAAGAAGCAAGAAGAGGGTGATGGGGGGAATCAAACTAACACCAAACGAATTGATATTCAATCAAGATGAGGATCGGAAACAATGGTCGACAGCTCTCCGCCGAGAGAATTGATTCTAAAGAAGTTTGATTACTATTTTTATTCGTTTATATAAATTACCATATTTTAATCCAATATGTGATACTAATAACCATGCGGTGCTTAAAGATTTTTTTTGGTACGGTATGTGAGTCTCAATTTGTCTGCCATTTATATTTTGAATTACATGATCAACATTTTTTAGGTAAACTTTTGGCATGAT